CGTAGGAGTAGGGTTTGTGGTGTAAAGAGCACACTTTTCAGCAACAACAAGTACTGAAATCAGTGTAACGAGTGTGATCTAGTTGTGTGCAGTGTGCAGAATTCAATGGTAATAGAATTCAGCAAGTGTGCAGAATCGGTGATAACAGAATGGGAGATAACTATGATTGTAAACCTAATGTGATGGTGTCTACAGACTACCTGAATGTTCAGATGACCTCCATTAAACTAAATGGAGAGAATTATGTGCCTTGGGTTAAATCCGTCGAAGTCTTTTTGAAGGCAAAAGAAGAAGGTAAAACACATAAGAGAAGAGAAACCCTCCACTGACTCTCATAGAGTATGAAGACTGGGAGCAAGAGGATGCTCAGATCATCACATGGTTGTGGAATAGTATGGAACCTAGGATTAGTGTAAACTTCATGTTTCTTGACACTGCCAAAGATGTGTGGGACCAAGCGAAGAAATTATATTCGGGACAAGACAATACAACTAGAATGTATCAGTTGTATCAAGAGTACTTTAATCTGCTACAGGGCAATCAGAGTCTTGAGGAGTACTATGCCAACATGAGAAACATACGTAATGAGTTGAATGTCTATCACCCTCTCACTTTTGATGTCAAGATTCAGCAACAACAGAGAAAACAGCTTGAAGTGACTAGATTTTTGGTGGGACTGAAGTCTGAATATGAACCAGTACAGGCTCAGATATTAGGAGGATCAGCTCTCCCATCTTTAGAAGAGGTATTTGCTCGACTCCGGAGGATTTCTACCGGATCTATTGAGAACTCTAATATCTCCGATAGATCTGCCTTTGTTGTATCGAGAGGCTGTGGTGCTAGAGGTGGAGCTCGTGGAGCTCAGTCTGGCCGTGGTGGTAGAAGTGGTCCTATGTATGGCCGAAGTAGCAATGATGGGCCTACTTATAATCGTGGTGGTGGTCGTACTGGGGGCAGAGATTCAAGGGGAGCCCGTGGTAGAGGACGTGGCTCAGGCCCGAGGAAGTGCACTCATTGTGGTATGGATGGGCATACCATTAACTATTGTTATGATCTACATGGTCCACCCTCAACCTGGGCCAATCATGCTACGACTAGTGACTCCAGTTCCAGCTTTAGACAGGAGAATCATTCATCTGATCAGATACCTCCTACATCCACAGATGGTCCCGTGAAGGAAATTGTGAGTGTTCCTCGTGATGAATATGAGAGGTTTATCCAATCACAGCAGAACACGGCAACTTTCGCTCACTTAGGTATGGCTTGTCTAGCATCCACACCTAATCCCTGGATCATTGACTCTGGAGCCTCCGATCACATGACTGGAACTCCAGGTGTGTTTTCTTCCTTATCTCATTGCTCAACATCACAATCTGTCACCCTTGCTAATGGTTCCACATCCTCAATTTGTGGTGTTGGTAATGTTGACCTAGACCCTGTATCCCTCTCCTCAGTTTTGTATGTTCCTAAATTGCCTTTTAATCTTATGTTTGTTAGTAAGCTGACCAAATCACTTAACTGCTCCATTACCTTTTATCCTTCTATGTGTGTTTTTCAGGATCTCAAGACGGTGATGAAGATTGGTGGAGGGCATGAAGCTGGTGGACTGTATTATCTTGACGGTGGTGGTAGAACTTCAACAGCTCTCCAGTCATCCCTTTCTCCTCTCCAGTGGCACTGCCGATTTGGTCATCCGCCACTAAAAGTTATGAAGTCTTTGGTTCCGTCTTTGAGTCAACTTTCTGTTTTGGATTGTGAGTCGTGTCAGTTTGGGAAACACCATCGTGTTCCCTTTAGTTCTAGGGTTGATAACCGTGTGTCGAGTCCTTTTTCTTTAATTCATTCCGATGTTTGGGGTCCTTATAAAGTGATGTCATATAATGGATATAGATATTTTGTCATTTTTGTAGATGATTTTTCAAGGATGGCGTGGCTCTATCTAATGAAAGAAAGAAGTGAATTGTTTACCATTTTTCAGAAATTTTATGTTGAGATTCATAATCAATTTGGTACCCACATTAAAGTTTTTTGTTCTAATAATGGCCGTAAATATTTATCCTCATCATTTCAAGAATACTTGGACCAACACGGCATTATACATCAGACCTCATGTACCTACACCCCACAACAAAACGGGGTGGATGAGAGAAAGAATCGCCATCTCCTGGAAACAGCACGATCCCTAATGCATCACATGAATGTTCCCAAACCCTTTTGGAGTGATGCAGTGCTTACCTCTTGCTTTCTGATTAATCGGATGCCCACGTTCATCCTTGATGGTCGTTCTCCGTTTACGGTCTTGTTTCCCAATTTGTCTTTGTTTCCTCTTACGCCTAGGGTATTTGGGTGTGTTTGCTTCGTCCATAATCCGGGTCCCGGGAATGACAAGTTTGATGCCCGTTCTCTCAAGTGCATCTTCCTTGGCTATTCTCCGACCCAGAAAGGGTATAGGTGTTACCATCCTAGTTCTCGACGGTCCTTTGTGTGTGCTAATGTCACCTTCTTTGAGTTTACTCCGTTCTTTTTGGGGTCCGGTGATGCTTCTTCCTCCTCACCACCTCCTCCTCTTCCACTTCCCGTTGCCGACCCTCTTCCCCTTGTTCCATCCGTGACCAAACCCTTGCCTCCAGTGCCACCACCTGTTGAACGCCCACCTATGCGTCATGTGTATACACATCACCCACGCGTACCAGCTGCTACATCTCCGTCGACAGATCCGGCACAAGACCCGCACTCAGCATCTGAGCTTGATCTCCCCATTGCCTTGCGGAAAGGTAAACGTACTTGCACCCTTCATCCTATTTCTAATTATGTTTCACTTACTCACCTTTCCGCCTCCCATCGCCAGTTTGTCACCTTGATATCATTAGTTGTTGTCCCTAAGGATGTCTAGGAAGCCCTTGCCTCTCCAGGGTGGTGCCGAGCAATGAAAGAAGAACTCTCTGCCCTTCATCATAATCATACTTGGGACCTCACCGCTCTTCCTCCTGGGAAGCAAGTTGTTGGCTGTAAATGGGTTTATACGGTTAAGTATCTGCGTGAAGGTAGTGTTGAACGCCTGAAAGCGCGATTGGTTGCAAAAGGATACTCCCAAACCTATGGTATTGACTACACAGAGACCTCCCCAGTTGCTATGATAGGGTCAGTTCGTGTTGTCATCTCTCTTGCAGCCATGTATGATTGGCCGCTATATCAGCTTGATATCAAGAATGCCTTTTTGCATGGTGACTTACTCGAGGAGGTCTACATGGAGCAACCTCCAGGGTTTGTTGCTCAGGGGGAGGATGGTAAGGTGTGCAGACTAAGGAAGGCTATATATGGGCTTAAACAGTCTCCTCGAGCATGGTTTGGTAGGTTCAGTGAGGTAGTAAAGAAGTTTGGTATGAAACAGTGCAAAGTTGATCATTCTGTATTTAGTCATGACTCTCCRGGAGGAAAAATACTGTTGGTGGTGTATGTAGATGATATTGTTATTACTGGGAATGATAACATGAGTATTGATAGGCTGAAGACTTATCTGCAAGATCATTTTCATACAAAGGATCTTGGTAAACTGAAATATTTCTTGGGGATAGAGGTAGCAAGATCCAAGTATGGTATTAATCTGTGCCAGAGGAAATATGTGCTTGATTTGCTGGAAGAAACAGGCTTGTTGGGTGCTAAACCAACTGAAACACCTATGGACACAAATACCARGCTAAGCAGTGATATGGGTGAAGTGTTTGAAGACCCTGGCAGATACCGACGACTTGTGGGTAAACTGAACTACCTAACCATTACTAGACCAGACATCTCATTTGCGATTCGTGTGGTAAGCCAGTTCATGCAGAAACCTCTGATTCCTCATTGGAATGCAGTTCTGAGAATTGTGAGATATTTAAAAGGGGCTCCAGGTCGCGGTCTGATATACAAGAGTAGCGGAAAACTTGAAATAGAAGGGTATTCTGATGTTGACTGGGCCGGTTCTATGTCTGATAGGCAATCTACCACAGGCTATTGCACTTTCCTGGGAGGTAACCTGGTGACATGGAAAAGTAAGAAGCAGACGGTCGTGGCAAGAAGTAGTGCAGAAGCAGAATATAGGGCTATGGCGCACACTGCTTGTAAACTAGGGTGGCTAAGGAACCTTCTACAAGAAGTAGGGTACAACATCAATACTCCAATGAAGCTCTATTGTGACAATCAGGCTGCAATTCATATTTCCTCTAATCCGATGTTTCATGAAAGAACCAAGCACATTGAAGTTGACTGTCACTTTATGAGGGAGAAGGTGCTGAATGGAGAGCTAGACACTACATATGTTAATACAGGAAACCAGTGGGCTAACTTATTTACAAAAGGCTTGAGTCGGGGAAGAGTGGACTATATATGTAACCAGCTTGAGGGGGAATGTTAGTGTAGGGGTATTTCTGTCCTTATACCCAGATTAAGGTTGCTGATCTGTAATGTTGTGTTAGAACCAGTGCTCCTTCCTTAAATAAGGGCACATATGTCTTTTCAATTATTTTAATAATAAAAAGCATTGTCAGGCCGAATGGAGGCAATCTTCTTGAGACTTCTAGTTCGAACCAAACTTTCTCCTTTTCTCTTTCTCTCTCTCTTCCACCTTTCTACCTCTTTCTACATAACCGATCTCAGACAAATAGAACTCCAAGGCAGGCCGAATCATAACAATAACCTTAGTTTCTTAGCTTTTGTTTAATCATTTCAAACAAGATAATTTGAAAAGATGTCACTATGCTTCTTTTATCATTTCATAAAATATAAGAGACTGAGAGTCAAGTTGAAGGAGTGGAATAAAGATTATTTTCGTAGGGTAGAGGAACAAAAGCTGAACTTATTCACACAAATTGAAAAGCTGGATGAGAGGGAAGACCAAGGCTTGTTGAGTGGGCAGGATAGAGAATCAAGAAGGCAATTGAAAAAGGATCTAGAAAAGGTTCTACTCAAAGAAGACATTTGTTGGAGGCAGAAATCAAGGCATAAGTGGATTAAGGAGGGAGATGGGAATACTAGATTCTTTCATGAGTTGGCAAATGGTAGGAGGAAGAACTTAGTGGATAGATTAGAGGTAGAAGGGCAGGTAATTACCAATCAGGAGGAGATAGCTAGGACCTTTGTAGACCATTTTAAAGTTGTCTTTAGAAGGACATTGAATGAGAGGGTGCCTATAGAAGGATTGGAATTGCCGAGGTTAGATGGAGAAAAAGCAAGGTGGTTAGAAAGGAACATTGAAGAAGAGGAGATCAGGAGGGCAGTTTTCATGATGGATAGATCTAAGGCGCCAGGTCCAATGGTTTTACTATGGCTTTCTACCAAGATTGTTGGGACATTTTGAAAGAGGATTTATGTGACGCTGTTAAGGAAATTGCCGAGAATCATATAGTAAGCTCGGGAGTCAATGCCACCTTTTTGGCCTTAGTCCATAAGAAACCAGATGCTATCCAACCTAAGGATTACAGGCCAATTAGTTTGGTAACTAGCACTTACAAAATCTTGGCTAAGGTGTTGTCTTTGAGGCTGAAAGTAGTTCTCCCATCCCAAATAAGCCAAGCCCAAGGGGCATTTGTTCAAGGGAGACTAATAGTAGATCAGATCCTAATTGCTAGGGAGTGTGTGGAGATATGAGGAGGTCGAAAAGAAGAGACTTTGTTTGTAAGTTGGATCTAGAGAAGGCCTATGACATGGTGGACTGGCACTTCTTGGTACAAGTAATGAGAAGTTGTGGCTTCGGGAATAAGTGCTGTAGTTGGATTTTTGGATGTGTGAATTCATGTCATTACTCTGTCCTGGTTAATGGAGTGGTGAAGGACTTCTTCCCAGCTTGTAGAGGTATCAGGCAAGGGGACCCTCTATCACCTTTCCTCTTCACTCTAATAGCAGAGGTGCTTAGTAGAATGATCCCAAAGGCTGACAGAGAAGAAGTGATTAAAGGGTGGAGGATAGGTAGGGATGGTATTCCGGTCACCCATCTCCAATTTGCAGATGATATTTTGATTTTTTGTCAAGGGGGCAATATTGAGAAAGTGAGAAATCTTAAGGATCTTATTAGGAATTTTGAGAGGGTGTCAAATCTAAGTGTCATCTTTGGGAAGAGTTGTGTAGCCGGGGTTAACTTGGAGGACAGTCAGGTGGAGGCTATAGCAAGAAGCTTAGAGTGTTCTATCTCGTCTTGGCCTATGACCTACTTGGGGCTTCCGTTAGGGGCAAACCCTGGGGAAAGTAGTTTTTGGTGTCTAGTGGTGGAGAGGTTTCAAAAGAAGTTGACTTCTTGGAGGAAAAACTATATTTCTTTGGGGGGAAGAATCACATTGATAAGAGCCACATTAGCTAACCTACCAACTTATTTCCTATCTGTGATTAGGATACCACCTAGGGAAGCTAAGAAGCTAGAGAAGGTGATGAGAGATTTTCTCTGGGAGCCGGGAGAAAGTAAGAAGGATCACTTGATAAAATGGGAAGTGGTATACTAGAATAAAGAATAGGGGGGATTGGGGTCAGGGAATTTGATTAAAAAAAATAAAGCACTACTGGGGAAGTGGTTGTGGAGGTGGCCAGTGGAGAGAGAGAAGCTCTGGCATGAGGTGGTGGGTAGTATTCATGGTCGCTCAGATAATGGGTGGGATGCTAGAGTGTCACAGCGGGCAACCTTGGCAACACCTTGGAAAGCTATTCATGGCATCCTTCCTCAGTTTCTCAGTTTTGTCAGGTATGATGTTTGTAATGGTAACTTTGTTCTTTTTTGGGGGGATACTTGGGTTGGAGAGGCTCCATTGAAGGACCTGTTCCCTTCTTTGTTCTCTGTTTCAAGGTACAAAAAGGAGTCTGTGTCAAAGTTTTGCTCCTTTACGAATAATCCATTAACACCGAATTGGGATTTTGGGTTTCGTAGAGGTCTAAGGGAAGAGGAAATTGTGTCCCTAACAAATTTGCTAAGCCTACTTGATACAGTGTGTTTGGACCCTTCTGAACCCGATAAACGGATCTGGACACCCAAGCCAAATGGATCCTTCTCTTGCGCTTCTTTCTTTAAATCCATTACTCAATTTGGTGTAGGCCTGTTCCCCCCAAGGTTATGGCTTTTTGTTGGGAAAGTGCATTATGGGAAAATAAACACCTTAGACTTTCTACAAAAGAGAAGACCTTATCTTTGTCTCTCACCTTCTTGGTGTATCCTTTGCAAGTCACATGGTGAGGACTGTAACCATCTACTAATTTCCTGTTATTTTACTGCAGAGTTATGGGAGTGGCTCTTCTCATTGTTTGGGTGCAGGTTGGTTAGGCCAGCGGATGCAAGCTTGATTTTTTATCCTGCTTTCTTCCCTTGGCAGCACAGAAGAGGAAGAATTATGTGGAGGTGTTCAAGAGCAGCGCTGATCTGGTCCATGTGGGAAGAAAAGAATACCAGAACCTTCCAAGAGAAGGAGAGAAACTTAGAAGAGATGAAGGACTGCATTCTAAATAGGGTGATCTTATGGCTAAAATCACTGGACCTATTCCATCATTTCTCATTTAATGATATTGGGAGGAATTGATTAGCAGTGGTTAATTGTTCATCTAGAAAGACTAAAGTGAGTTTGACTTGGGAACCACCTCCTGAAAATTTTTGAAGCTGAACTTCAATGGAAGTAGTCTTGGTAATCCAGGTCCATCAGGGGTGGGAGGGGTACTGAGGAATGAGGCTAGGAATGTGGTTCTTATTTACTCGGGGCCCATAGGAGCTGGAAACTCTACTAGGGTGGAACTTGCAGCTGCTATCCAAGGAGTACAGCTAGTTGTGCAGATAGGTGTGGAACATCTGATAATAGAAGGGGACTCCAAGGTGGTAGTGGGATAGCTACAAAACCCGGACTCTATAGTGTGGTGTTTTAAGAATGAAATTAAAAAATTCAACTGCCTGCCAAGGAGCTTGACAGTGAGAATACAATGGGTGGGGAGGTCAGCAAAACTCTATGGCTGATGGTCTTGCTAAATAAGGAGTAAACAGGGAAAGCTTATATTGGGCTCAATTGTAGATTGAATCTGTTTCCTGTTTTCTGTTTTCTTTTTGTCTTTCTTCCTGCTGTTAGGAGAGGACGCAGCTCGTGCCTCTCCATGGGAAGCTTGTAATTGCATTAATTCTCTATTAATAAAACTTATCTCATTACTTATCAAAAGAAATATCATTCTATATTTTGCATATTTTACAATGTTTCCACCATGTCTATAATTTTTACAATATTTCCGACATTTCCAACATGTTTCTTATATTTGCATGACCAACATTTCCACCGACATCAACATTATAAACCTTGAAGTCAAGAATATAAGAAGTACAATAATCACCTCATACAGAAGCATGTAGCCCATCCACTCTGATATTATAACATCAACCTCTTCCTCAATTTCAACATCCTACAATTATCAGCACCAGAAAAAGAACGGACACATGAAAATAATCCGCAGGTTATTGTAGACAAAGATAACATAAAAGGCTTAGAGAGAAAAGGAGGGCATATTATCCATATCTAATATCGCTGTTATCAAGCTGATCAAAAAAAATATCTCTGTTATCAATGCAGTGAGGTTAAGACCAATACTTTTGGCCTCTCAAGTCAATGCATGGACCCGGGCGGTTTCATGAAACCGGGACCGGTTCACCGGTTTTCCAGTTAAACCGGCCCATCAGCTGGTTTTCACTGGGTTTTGAGCTAGTCAAGTTATTGGGGTGTGACCAAACTGGTCAAGGTCCTGGGTCATGGTTCGGCCAGTTCAACCGGCTGGTCCGGTCCGGTTTTCTAAACACTGGTACATATATATTCTCTCCAAGGATGTATGTAAATGCGTACATATGTACTGTTTATAATTAGCAAAATTGGTAGTTATCAGAAAAAGGTATATGGACATGGATTGGAAATTGATATGGACCTAAATATGGGTTTGGCCTTGGTTATGAGATTGGGCTTTAGTATGTATTTGAGTTTATTTTCTTCTTCCAGTAGTAAACTTCCAGGCCATCAAAGGCTCCAGCATCAAGAGGAATCACCTTCAAGGCTGAAAACAACAGTTAGTAGTAAAATACATACAGCAGGAACACGAGATTTGTCATGAAACCAATTTGAATCAATGCTGCTCCTGGTCAGAGGCAACCTCAAATATACCTATGGTGGATTCTCACTTCTGAACTTCTGATGTTAGAGCCTTAGTGGAAGGAGGGCAATGGGTGTAACAAAGAATAGAGATTGAGAATGACTCTCAAATGTGAATGGTTGGACGCTCAGAAGACTTGTTGGCCCATAGTCGTTGCATCATCATATAGATTATCGGTGTGTTATGTGTCTAAAAAGTGGGCTAATGGGTCAAGGTAATCAGGAGGTATTCTTGTAAATAGTCATAATAGATACTAGTGGTTGAGGAGACTTATGGTAATAGTGGGTCAATGCTGGTCAGTTATGTCATTAGGAAGTGATTGCATTGAGTTGGGATAAGGGGGCATGGTGGGGCCAGGTTTTTAGGAGACAGTTGTAAGAAATCGATTTGAGGAGGCCCTGTCTCCCTCAAAGAAGACAAATTGCAGTTACGTCTTAACCGGGAATGTAACACAGAGCTTTAGGCTGTCTTTGGTTTGAAAGGAAAGGAAGGGAAATTAAGTCAATTAAGGAGGAGGTTTCCCTTACTTTTCTTTCAAACCAAACACAGTCAGTGTCTAGAGTGAACAACTTCAGTGATAGGTTCCAGACATAACTGCAGGTGAACTTCCAAATGCAAGCATAAGCAACAGATTGTTAAAATAAACAATGGTTTCCCAGAATAAAAGAAAGGGTAAATTACAAGGACCCCCCTGTACTATAAGGTCAGTGACAAAGACCCCCTGAACTTTAGCCGTTAGACAAAGACCCCCCCTTCCATTAGCATTCCATCAGTTAACTTTGAAAAAGATTCTCATCTGACCGTTTAATTTTTTTAAATGCCCAAACTACCCTTTTCTAATTTATTTCACATTAACGAGGAAACGGAGGCTAACGGTATTTTCCACCAAATATTGCCGCTGCAACCTCCCTTTCTTCAACGGCACTAGTTTTCCAGCAAGATCCTGTCTTCATGCCCTTTCCTTCCAGATATTAATACACAAAAGTCAGCGAGTAAGAAGCACCATATTGAACTGAAGAGGCAAAAGTAGTGTACAAGCTAAAAGCTGACATGCACTAAAACAAGAAATCGCCAAGAATAAACGAAGGTTGCTGATACGAAGAGATTTGATATCATTGAAATTTCTAGCATTCTTTTGGATAACCTAGGGGAGGTGGGAAGATGGATTGGAATTTGGAATTATGCTTGTCTTTTGTGTAAAGTAGGAGAACAAGGGAAGCATCTTCTTTCACAGGAAGCAAAACCAGAAATTTCACCACCAGGAGCGGAAGAAAGGGGAAATGCAATGGCACTTCCCTGCTTTAGGAGAGAGGTTAAAGACGTCTATCTAGAGTTTCATCAAGCTTAACCTCCATTAGTTCTTTTTATGATTCACTGAGAAATTGACTTAGGTTCTGATTACATCTTTGCTGATATTTTTTGTTTGAGATGAAATATGTGTGAAAGAGCAGAGAAAAGAAAAGGCCCACCTGTGAATATCCCATTCCTTCCATTCCCTTTCCCAGAAACCTTCTGGATGGGAAAGCTGTTGTGGTGCTCAAAAATCCCAACAAAGCAAGTTCTCCTTTTCGCTTTCTTCTTCATCTTCCTCTGGTCCTAATTAGTGCAGTAGAGGACAGGCCAATCAGCTGTAAGCACCAGATTCTACTACAATCCCAGCCAAAGGGGTCTCCGTCAACAGTCCACAGATTAGTGCAGTAGAGGACATGCTTTTGTTTCAAAGTACATTTTTCATGGAATGCAAAGAGGATTTGTGGAGGTGGACCTGTTTTTAGATGCAAATTTTATATGCTGATTTCTTGACTGTAATTCATTCATCATGCCCAAACCATGTTTTTCTCGGATACCATGGAGAGAGAGAGAGAGATGGGTTTTTGCATGAATTCCTACAAAAGCTTTTCTGCAAGGTTAGTATCGTCTTCCTGGCTTCCATAACCCAGTCGAACTTACTGAAAGTAAGCAGTGTTCCCTTTGTGTAATGGAGGAACTCTGGGAAAAAGGAAAAATGGCACATCTTTTAAGCCCCACCCCTGGCAGCCACTAGCTTGGCCTACCAACCTGGCTAATCGGTGTAGTTCCATTCGTTGCCAACATGGCTTGACTGTCACCCAAAAAGATTCAACGAATAAGCCATTCAGTGGTGCTCCAGTAGGGAAGCGGACTGATCTGAAGATCATTAATACTCGCACTGTAATGGATGGCCACCACCAGTAAGTAGTTTAAGAATTATTGATTGGATTGATAATTTAAGAGAAATAGGATTTTTTTAAGAGAAAAGGGCAATAAAAAGAAAATACAGAAAGTTCTGATGGGTATTTTGGTAATTTAACACGTTCCTTATTTGACTTAAAGGCAAGGGGGTCTTTGTCTAGCAGCCAAAGTTCCGAGGGACCTTTGTTGCAAAAAAAATAAGTGCAGGGGGTCTTTGTCACTGACCCCATAGTACAGGGGGGTCTTTGTAATTTACCCAAAAAGAAAATTTGCTGATTAATTTTACGAGATTACCTCAACTCGTCCAAGTAAAACAATGACCTTGTCAGATAAATTATTTGCTTTTACAACTTCATTTGCCTGGTGAAACATTCCATCAATAAGACAATTGATCAATGCAATGCCAAACATTAGATCCATTACAACATAAGAGATTCAGATTTCCCAAAATTATCTGGTATCTAAGGTTAAATATACCAAGATAAGGGAAGAACACACATAGAAGGGCTACAATGACTACATATTGTACCCCAGAGTTCAAAGTCACAAACAAAAAAATTAAGAACAAAAAAAAATAATAGTAAACTATGGGAAGTACCTGAACAGCAATCTCGCTAGCATCAACAGCATAAACCTGGAAGCAGAATGTGTGTTTCAAAAACATTTGACTTAAATGAAAAAAAAAAAAAACTGAAAATGGTCAGAGAACTAATTGTGGTTTACATACTATGATAAAATGTATGTAAACATTTCCCATAAAAACATTCAAGAAAACATAACTTTCCACCAAATAAACGAATGCTAGAGTCAGAACACATGACCAAAAAAGACATAACTTTCCATAAAATAAATGCCTGGAAGATTCTAAGGCCAAAAAGTAAAATATTAATCAAAATATCAAACTTAAGCATCCAATCCATCAAATTGTTTTGCAAAGCAAGGAAGTACTTGACATGATAAGGAGTTAGAATAATTTCCAACCAGCTTCCCTTTATTTACCCTAAGGATCATCTTCATTTTTTGGCAAGTTGTTCACCATCTTCTATCTGTTACAAAAGCAATGCAGCTGACTTTTCCCTAATTCTTTAAAACTTGATTGGCTGACCCTATAACGAAAATGATCAAAGGGAGTGATGTTTCATAGATCATATATAAAAATGGATTGATCCATTCTTTTTATCAATAACAAAAGTTGTTCAATAAAAGAAAAGAAGAGGAATAGAAGAATTTCTGGAGCATCTGGAAATAGAGGAATTTAGGAAATTTGTAAACCAAGCCAATTCTAGAGAATTTGTATGGATATTTATTCTCTTATTTGAGAATGGGTTTTGGTTCTAAAACAGTACAAGCACTTGCATTGAATTGACAACAAGACAAAATGAGATGGGATACTGAGACAAAGAAAGGACGTTAAAGACCGAGAAGGATCATTGGTCGACAGTGGGAAAGAGAAGCAAGGGAGGGGTGAAGAAAGGAAAGGATCTGACTCCAGTTTAACAGAGATGAACAATCTATGTCAGGGAAACAAGCCAACCAATGCCCTGATGCCAAACGGATTGATCACTATGTGAGCATGACAAAGAAGGAAGGCCAAAACCAAACAATTGGACAAAGTGTAACAGTTCAATCCCAGTTAAATCAGTCCTCTCAACTTGTCAACATCTTGCAAATCAACCTATGTACTCCTCACAATAAGCCTCTCACTAATGTTTACTCCTTTTTTTTATCAAAAACTGCAACATTCATAATTAAAGAAGAAAAAAGATATACAGGTACAGATGGAGATAAAGCAGCTTATCTCCAAAACCAAAAGGATTACAACTGAGCCCAAAACAGTTAAATTCTCCCAATCCCTTGTTTTGCCTAAAAATTGACCATACTATTAGCCGTCCTTTGGACCCATTGAAATCTAACATTCATACCCCTGATCAACAATTTAATCTTTTTTTACTCATTTTTATATATCACAGGTCATCCCCTTAATTTTGTAACTACTCAACCACTAATTGAGAATCCTCTTCTATAATCAGTCTGTGCACATTTAACTCCTTTGCTTTGGATCCCTTCCACAACTGCCATTACTTTGGCCCTCAAAGAGTCCCCAATGCCAATCAGACCTGAGAAGCATGCCATCACATGACCTAACTCATTTCTGACCAGACCTCCTACATAAGGTTGTAAATGGACCAGATCATGATCCAATCAAATCCTGAATCCAAACCTATTTTTCCAGATTCAGATAACCCCCTATCAGATTTTCAAATCAGATCAGATAATAGGAGTCAATTGAAAATCGGATCAAATTCGGATCACCCCCTTTATCCGATTTGAAAGGATCCGATCCAATCTAACATTATATATTTCATATAATTTTTTTATAAAAAGACATGTATATATTAATATATATATATATGATGAAATTAGTTGAAAAAATACTTGTCTTATTTGTTTTTCTTTATATAAATTGTTATGTTTTTTCTTTTAATAGTTTATTAAAATTTTCAGAATTTGAATCGGTTCAGATCAGATGTGGATATCTGACATCCTTAACGGATTCGGAATTGAATTGCCATTTATGAGATCCAATCGGATCTTCGGATCACATCAAATAATATAAGTATTTGATGTTGTTAAAACCTCACGACTTACAATATGATTTACAATTTGAATCATGAATCCCAAGGGTTTCGATTCGAATCCTATGTCTGAATACTTTTCTGCAAAAATCTTATATTTTTGTTTGAATCTTACAATTTCATGCATAAATCTTACAATTTATATGATTCATTGTGATTCAAATCAATTCAATTATGAATTAGTTCTCTACTTTGTCATTTTGTTTTGATTATATTTAGTTTTTGTCAAGGGTGACTTGGTTTAAAGACTTTACTAGAAATTGATTTATTTATATCTTAAAAATAGGGTAGCACATTTTACTATACATATTTAGCCTTTTAGCATATGTATATTTAAGTTTTTGAGCAATTTGTACAAAATAGAAATAATCTTATGATTTACAACATGATTCACAATTCGATTCAATTCTACTTTTTCTACAATTTACAATATGATTACAATTTTCGGAACATTGACCCCGACTCAATCTGAACCAATCCATTTGCCCCCCTATTCCTACACCTGATGAGCCTGGGTTCCCCCTCCTACAGTCAGTAATCCAGAAACTTGAAAATGAAAACAAAGCCAATTCCAACTACATTTCCTATAGAAGCCATCCACTGAAAAATCTGAAAACAGCTCTAAATGTTATGCATTCTATCAATTAATAGCCCTCGATGTTATGCATTCTATCAAAAGCCACCTTACTACTTTTGTTTTCAACGAAAATTCTTGCGTTTCTCTCTTCCCAAAGTGTCCATGTTACTGCAGCTCTTATACTCCTCCACATGACTCTACCTCTCTTGTATTCCAATTATTTCACTTTGTTATGCATATTTGAATGTTGAAAATAAGCAACAATGGGTGCCCTTGAGCTGCTTGCCAAATGCCACAATTGTTTTTAATGAGGAAGAAGCAGAGTTGTTAGGTGAGAACTGAGAAGAGTGAGGATCAAGAGAAAGAACTTGGGGAAAGAATATGGAGGCAGATGGAGGAATACATGAGCTGGTGGATGGAAGAGTGTAGTAAGGAATCTCAGGGGGAGAATATCTTGCAAAGTGTATTGGGGATTGATTGAGGTGAAGTGAAGGAATTAGGAACTGCGGGCACAGGGGGAACGCAAGGGGAGGCAGATATAGGGGGAACAGAAATTATGGGTGAACCTGTAGCAGTGGAGGGGATTGAACATTATCTGGGTATTCAGTTAGTAGAGCAAGAGGACAATGGGAAATCAAAGAGTCATAGGAAAAGGTGTTCTGAAGTAGAAATTCTGACCACCTTAGGGATTAAATCCAATAAGACCTATTCAACAAGGTGAAGCAAGGAAACTTAAAACTGGTGGGGGTGTTTACAGGTAGTTACGTATTCAGTTAAGATATCAATTAAGATGGTGAGTTGGAATGTTTGAGGTGCAGGGAGTGCTAAGAGGAGAATTCGAAGGGATCTCATTAGGAGAGTTAACCCATTGGTTCTCACGTTACAAGAAACCAAAATAGAGCAGGTCAATGCTAAGTGGGTTAGGAGACTTTGGAGCTCTCAGAATAAGAAATGGGCATCTGTACCTTCATTGGTAGCAGCTGGTGGCATATGGCAATCTAACAATTTGGAATGAAAATAGATTTGAGTGTGAGGAGAAATTACTTTTGGGTTTATTTGTAACAGTCAGATTGAGGGATAAAGTGGATGGTTTTAGATGGTCTTTCTCTAATGTATATGGTCCTGCATTGTAAAGAGAGAGAGAGAGAGAGACCAAATTTTGGGAGGAATTGTTGAATATAAGAGGATGGGAAACAGAAAAATGGGTGGCTGGGGGTGATTTTAATATAACCCAGTTTGTGGGGCGAGAAGCACAAGTTCCTGAAGACACACCTTCAGCATGAGGAAATTTAATGAATTAATCAACGAGTTCATGCTGAAGGAGATACTTAGAAAAGATGTGCTAAATCTACTGCTTGCCTTCATTAGAAAATCCAAGACAGACTGAAGCTGAGAGATAAAGACCCCCTCTATACCCAAGAAATTCTTCATAAGTCAGAAGCCTTTAATTTCAAAGTTATCAACCAAAAACTTCTTTAATTGGACAAAATCAACTAGATTATTCCCTGTAATAACAATTTCACCTACATACACAATCAAGGTTATAAGCAAATGTCTCTTTTGATAAAGAAGCTATAATTTGCATGTGGCTATTAGAATCCAAAGAACAACACCCAAGAAACTTTCAAATTAAGTTCTGGGTAAGGTTTCAACCCATATATTGACTTTCTTTAAACACCACATCTTTGTCATTACTCGGAACTTATCCAGGTGGAGGTAGCATGTAGACCTCTTCCTGAAAAATCCCCATTCAAGAAAGCATTTTTGCATCTAGTGGATACATTGGTCAAAAGAAAAAAATGTCCCTGATTTCCCTAATATTTCCACAACTTATTTCAATTTCCATGGGTAGCGACACAAAATTCTACTGGAATGGCCATATTCCCCAATGAACATTACCAGCACTGTGGAGTACAAGAGATAGTTTCCATAACATATTTCCATTTCCACTTCCATGGATAGTGACATGAAACTTACTTGAATTGACATATTCCCCAATGAGCACTACCATCAATATATGGGGTACAATAGATATTATTATAACATAAGTTGGTGACAATATTGTAGATAATGTGGAGTAACAATGTTATTGCTCGCCTAACGTACATGATTACCACTTTGAGCTAGCTCAATGTCCGTCTCAACATGAAGTTAAATATTAGTTTTTCTTTGTGTGATAGATTATTTCGTTGCTTTTTTTATCAAAAACAAAAAATTTCATTAAGAACAAGGGAGTACAAAGGAAACTAGGGGAGAGATAAACTCTCTTAACCCTCCACCAAGAAAACAAAAACCAAACTCAAGATTACAACATAGCCCAGAACATTTGTTCCCTTCCCAGCCCTTGCTTAGCAAGAATATCCGCAAGGAGTAGCACTTCTTTTTACCCACTACAGCTGAATTTCCAAACCATCTCAGAAG